GGCAACGACAAAATACCCGAGAACCTTTTGTCGCCCGAGATCATTAGAACCAGTTAACTTTTACTTACTTGAAAATACAGACTTTTATTTTTTAACTAATTTTAATATATCAGATCTACCTTTTTACTAATTAACTAGATGTTAACTTGAATCTGTCTGTCCTTTCATATTTCCATCCATACGTGAACATGTAGCATCATACAACTGTTTTGATATGTCCCTGGTAACCCTTTCGATCCCGATAAGTTATGCAGGGCAATATATTGATCTCCGAATTGACGACAATAACAAACTATAACGTATCAATAAATAATAAAATATTTTTGTTACATTCACGCGTATAATCCGAAGGTTTCAATTATGTTTGACAAAATTTAAAAAATTACTCTGAACTTACTTCACTCACGAAACTTACCACACGTCCTTTATGCTGTTTCTAACTGTATGAATAAAGTTTTTTGGAATTTCTCTCACATAAATGCCCTCCGGCCCACTCGTAGTCATTACTTTTGCATTAGGAAATAACTTTAATTTTTCCATTTATTACACACACTGTGAAATCTAATGTATAAAACATTAAAATAATTTGAATATGCTTTCTCTCGATTTGATACAGATAACAGAACTAATCTAAGACAGAGAGTAGCTCAATCTGTGAGTCATAAATTGTAGAAATCAGAACACGCTTTTTTTAATAATTTGCACTAACGTGAAACAAAAAGTAAGAGAAAACTACTCGTTTTTTCACTTAATAGTACATGATCTTTTTTGAACATATGAATTTTTAGAAAAGAAGGTCTATAAGAAAAGATATCTATTTTTTTTATATATCTATGTAATGAACACCAAAATATTCATAGCATTAATTGTTGAGAGAAATAACCTCCAAGATAGTAATGTAGTTTGAAATCGTAACATAATTCTCGAGGATGGTAGGGTTTTCAAGAATCGAAAGATACTCTGCTTCATGATATTTTAATAACTAGCTAGCTTGATAGCTAGTAAATGCCTGTACAAAATGGTTTTCACTTTAGATGGATGACTGCTCTGAGGTAATCGATCACTTGTGACAAATATGAAAGTTCATTATGACGTCCAAAATGAAAGACACTCAAGTTAATATGTTACGTAAATATGATATGTTCTTATATAAATTGACCAAGAATTACAGTAATTTGTCAACAAATGCGATAAGACTTCTGCGAATACATTATTCGGTTACAATAGACATTTCGTCCCTTTTTACTGGGATTAAAAATCCAGCACACCAGACGAGGTTTGTCGTAAATAAAGCAATATTTTTTTTACTTTCTTGCACTTACTTCGTAAGAAGCTAAAGTTATGGAATCCTCTAACTCGCGGTGTAGCCAGGTTTTGTAGGTTCTTGATATTAAAAAATCGATTGACGGCAAAACGTCAGTCCGTCCGTCCGTCCGTCCGTCCGTCCGTCCGTCCGTCCGTCCGTCCGTCCGTCCGCCCGTCCGCCCGTCAGTCTGTCCGCCCGTCAGTCTGTCCGCCCGTCAGTCTGTCCGCCCGTCAGTCTGTCCGCCCGTCAGCCTGTCCGCCCGTCAGCCTGTCCGCCCGTCAGTCTGTCCGCCCGTCAGCCTGCCCGCCCGCCCGTCAGTCTGTCCGTCCGTCAGTCTGTCTGTGCGTTGTGATCAACGCTAGCGCCTAAATCGTTCAGCCGATTTACTCCAAAATTGATCATCTCTGATCGATCTAAACGAACTCGAGGGTGTGAGAATTTAAACGAATATTTTGATTTTTGAGAGTACCTCAGATTCAGCGATCGTTTACGTTCATAATCGTCGTTTTAAAGTCTCTATCCCAAGTCTCGGATAATCACGAGTCTTCTGAAGTTGTGACAGGTAAATAATATCTTCTAGAATGTTTGCAGTAAAGAGAATAGCAACATTTACAATATTAATAGATTGGCAGAAAAGTAATATTTTCATGGTACAAAAAATATATTATTTTCGCTCCTGATGCTCGTCACAGTATAGCTTCTGTTTGTACTACAAATAGACTGATGTAAGCTAAATTATTTGAATTCAAAAAATGTCATTTTTCCATTAGTAAAAGCCACTATCGATCAACCGCAAATTTTATTGACGATTAAAATCCATTGTTTACTCAGTTTCTATCAATAGATTCATTGGCGCAAACAAGCTAATATCAGAAAAAGATATGACTGACGCGAGAGAAATTGTGTATTTCGGGATAACATACAAGTACTTTAAATTTGCAAATAACTAACACGTTTATTTTACAGACGAATATTGTGTGTCAAGTTTATATACAACCGTGCGTGGATCGGATCATTGAAAGGTGTGAGGACAGCCTGATAGACCACATTTAGAAGAAAAGTGAGTTCTTCTCTGAAGCGTAGTAGGACAACAATACTATTCATTAAAACTTGTGAAAATTATGAGCCGAAAATCTTCGAATTCGATCATCATAGTCGTAGACATATACGCACAAAAGCAGCATCATCAAATACGCTAATTAATAGCTAATAATGGTGGTAATGGAGGTGATAGTGATATTTGTGTGATGCTGATGGAGATTATGATGATGGTGATGATGATGATGGTGATAGTGATGATGGTGGTAGTGGTGGTGACAGTTAGGGGGGTTGGTGTAGGTGGTGGTGGTGGTGGTGGTGGTGGTGGTGTTGTAGGTGGTGATGGTGGTGGTGATGGTGGTTATTGTGGTGCTGGTGCTGATTCTGGTAGTCGTGGAGATGGATGTAGAGAATATCAGTAAGGCGGATGACTTGCGAGTGTTTGCAACACTTCTTGGTGAAGCGTGACGCTCTGAACTTGAGAATGGTTGACCCCTAGATTATGATACTCTGCGAAGTGAAGGACGCTAGCTAATTCGCTGTGCACGTGCACTGAAAGAACTTACCGGATCATTTTGCTATCAATGTGGCTTGGCATTTGCAATGTGCCTTTAGGGGACATACTTTGCTTTTACAGTTGCGTGGGAGGAATGCTATATGCGTAGTATGTATTTCAAGACTAGCGAGAGAGTCTAGCGTTGGCGCTCCGAGTTAATGCTTTAACCGACTTTTCACGTAACGCATATCCACTGAATCTGCCGGTTCAAAGCTAATCTTACATCGTCGGAGCCCAAGAAAAAAACTGATAGATCTTGTTTAATACAAAAATCTCTATCTTCAATTTTGTGATCTTAAAATATTCACTCTGCAATCTCGAAAATACCGCACGTCACATTCGTAAGTTTTTTCATTGCGTTTACTCTTCGTTCCCGCGCCTCTATACCTCAACATTGGACCTGGTGCGCTTTTGTCCCGCAACGCACGTAGATAGTCACAACATATATTGCAAGCGGTGGTCGGTGAGGCATGGAACTCGGAAGGTGATACCAATTTTCAGTCTTCGTCTGAAATTGTTTGCGACTTAATTTTATGAATTTCGCCTTTTATTGAAAGTACTCAAGTCCATTTAACTCTTGACGGCATTGAACGCATCATTTATGATGTTTGGGGAATTTGTTTTCATTTGATGTTAGGTTTGTTGATTTAAAATGTTCATTTTATGAGTCCATTGTATCAAGTTGGACGTTGTGGAAGAAAGTCCCTCTTTCTGACACTGTTCTTTCACACGGGGCGGGCAGTCATTTCGCGGCCGTCGTGAACGGTCGTGACTGAGCAAAGTGGTCGTGCATGAGTATGTGGAAGATCTGCAGAGATTATTATTGTAAGTGTTTGTTGTTATTGTTGTTGCAGCTGCTGTCGACAAACCATCTTGCTTAAGGAAGTAAAAATCACTACCAATTTAAGAGAGAACATATTCCTAAAACAATAGTCTGTCACCATTACAATGTACACCAGAGTAATACATTTTTCGAAATACGATAATTATATTTCGTTATTATCACCACTAGTACCACAACAACAATGATCCTGAAATGCACTAGAGTAAAACGTGTTCAAACAATAGTGGCTGTTGCTGGAATGTTCGAATCCCGACAGTGGCAGGATTTTCGACACTAGCTAGATCGAATTTAGTCACTGACGGGAGGAGTATTCTAGGGGCCGGTTGCTCTGAACGGAGATTTTCTCAGTTTATCCGATAAATACCAGACAAATGACGGAGAAGTACCCTAACAAACGGGCCACTGACCGCGCGCGATCTTTCCTTCACCTTCCTTGCCCTATCGTCACCCCTTACAAACACACACACACACACACACATGCACTACACTACCACACATGCCGGGAGACCGCTGGGAAGCTTAGAGCTTGTCCCGGCTAGGGTGGCGTACCGTTGGTGGGAGATTGCTGGTTGGGAAATCTACGCTACGCGAGAGGTAGGTCGGCGCCGGATCTCACCATTCAGTGAGGGAAGATCACAGCTACCTACGAGGAAAATAAATGCACTAAACGTATTGAACTAATGCCCTTAGTAGACGCCCCCGGAATCACTAATCAATCAATTGAAATCTAGTTAGTTTTGGTTTCGTATGATTTCTACTATCGGCAATTATCGCAAAGCAAAACCATTACAAAACCTCGAGAGCGCAATGGAAATAAAAGCCAGAATTACGTAAACAGAGTGTGAATGTATACTTTCATTAAACTTAGTTTTAAATAATTTATACGAATTGCTTACGTTTACGTATATATGTATACGTATATTTATAAATATATTTACATGTTATGAATTTGGGAAATTACTTTCCCGTCATTCAATGAAGTTGCAATCCCCTTTTTTAAGGCACTAGCCGCCACGGCGTGTGCGTGTCTCGTGTTACCATTGAACATAAACGTACATTGATACGTCTTATACATTTATACATGGTACACAGTTATTTCGTAAGCGCTGAGCTTCACGTGCTGGTTTTCTTTGTTCTGTGGATTTGACCTGAACGTCGCGTGTACGAGTCCGTTGTAAGTTTGTGAGGCTTACGTAACACTCCACGTTGTACCCGCATTACTGCCGAAGGACGTTACATTCACAGAAAAAACCCACCTAATGACGAAAGGCACGGAACCATTTGTTCCAGAATAGCAAGCAGGAAGCAGAATTCTGGAGTCTTGCAGGCCTTTGATGCTAGATGCGTGCTGAGTGAAAATGCCTCGCTACGACTAGCTTGTATCAACTGAAATGCGCGTGCAATTGCATCATTCGTAAATTTCCTTATGTCATCTCCATTACTTCCTTAAAAACGATCAGTTACGAAACAATCTTCGAAACAAGTACACTTCGAAACTCGTAATTCACTTTTACTACTTTCATAAATACATGAAAGGATTACCAATCATTTCCGGGGAATTTTGCGTGTTTTATGTTGTCGTTTTTGCATCATGAGGTAACTCCTTGTTACTAAAGTATTTATCACAATTAACACATTCCTTTGTTCTCGTTTAACCTTTTGGATGGCGGATTAATTTTAATTATTCTATTGCAGGATTTAAGATCCTAATAAAATTTATTAGACTTTCACTCACTTATTGAGTGAAGAGTAATATGGATTCCCACGTGCATGCCCAGAACACTATGATTTGTTTATGTCCCTAACTGTTAACAAATTATGAACCTTATGAACTTACGATTTGACGTCTCAGCTGAAGAAGACTACAATTGCAAAGGGTTGAACGCTGGGACTATTATGCAAGATGATAACTACATGTTCTGATTAGTTAATTTTATTCAAATAAACTTTAGTACAATTGTCTTTAAATATTAGACTTAAATATATCTAAAAACATTAAACACAGACCATAGTTTACTTCCATATTTTATTTGCGTCTGTAAAAGTGCAAAACTAAACCGTCAACAAAACATCGTTCCAGTTCGTTTGAAAATATCCGCTTCTGATTCTGATATCTTATGCAATGTTAAAGTGAAATAGTATAAGTGTCGTGGACTAAACACCAATTTATCGCCTATTCCGTGTTCTCCTAGACGAGACAAACACATAGAAAAATATTTACGAGCGAGAGATCGTCAATGATCTAAAAGATTAATTGCATGAGTGGTTCTTTAAGCGTTTTAATCTCTGGGGTATATAAACTCGATAAAATGAAGGTTTTTGGTGTCTTTGAAGTAGAGACATGTACTATACGTCCTAACAAATCTTACATTAGACTCACAGTGACTTCACGACATACCGTCTCATCAATGAAGGGAAGCAATTGACAAATAAAGCTTACTTATGATGTTTTACATGTTTTAAGAGGAGAGAAAGCAGATGGTTTCATCTCTGCGAGAGTTTAGCTTTTTTTCAGAAAAGAGTATTATATAAGTGCGAAAACTTATCAATGTTATGTAGGCAGTTTACTAAAATTTCATATTGTTGACGCCTAGTCATAGACTCTTATCTGTGTGACCTCTATGACAGTAGTTCTTGAGTCTGCTCAGACTTCTTTAATTTGTGCGTTCGCGACCGCTTAATTCGCTCATTAACTTCACTGCGATATTTTGTATAGGCTAATTTTTATAGTAATTCATATTTTTATAAACTTAAATGAAGAAAAAATACGTTAATAATTCAATTATTGCAGATCACTTACCAATATATTGAATCGGTATATCACATTTAAAACGCATCTACTCTAAGATCCACTACAAAACTTCATGAAAGATTATTGAAGCAATTCTTCTGAATTCTTCGAATCTGTAAGTAATTCACCTGTTTTTATATTGAATCAACTTATTGAGGATGATGGGATAGGAATTCAAAATTTATCATTTGGTCTCCAAAGTAGGAAAACTCAAATGTCATTGAAACATTTTAATTTTGAAGTTTGCAAAAATTGAGTAATAAAACATTTATTGTAAAGAGATAATAAATAATGTTCCACGGCACTACTAATATTTGCAAATAATGTAACTTGCTTCGACTCTGCGACGTTCGCTGGCTTAGGCACTCGGCCCTATTATTGTGTTCCTAATTCAGAGGCAAATTTATTAAATAATGATACACCTGTGAAATTTAACTCATAGTACCGAAGATAAAATATCTGTTTTCAAATTGTCTTCCTACATAATTATTTTGCAATGGACTCCTAGAGAATTTCGATAATCCTACAAGTACGATATACACATTCAGGAAGTTTTAATGTCATCTATACAGTGGTTCGCGTATTCTTTATATTTTAGGGGAATGAGAGGCAAAACAGAGCTTCGTTGTTGAAGATGGGATTCCTATCTTGTGGTACTCGGTACTCTGAAAGGCACTCTCATGGTGAGAATACATTCCCTTGAACTGAGAGCTTTTCATGGTGAGAAAAAGAAATACATTCTTAGAGCCACTTATTACATTGAGGTTCATTACATTGAG